AACTCTGTCTTATCACAAATTTTGTTTTATCTCCTTCAGTGTCTAAGTATGCACATGGTAACCAGCCTCACTGATTGAAAACTCAATTTTACAGTCAGTAGTAGTATATATTCCTTATTCGGACAGCCGCCATTTTTATTCCTTATTCGGACATGGCCTAACCTACCCCTCATGTCGGCCATTTTGTATTCCTTATTCGGACATGGGGTACCCCTGTCGGCCATCTTTGTTCCTCATTGTAACATGGGGTAACCTAAGGGCCTAACACACCGCGAGGACGAGGTCGCCGTCAAGGAGTCCGTCCGGGGGCCTGGAGCCGCCCCTGCAACGGGTTTCAACATGCCGTCCACGAGGTGGCCGCGCACCGGTTACAACGCGTCTCGGGTCAGCCCAGGGTGGAACATGTTTAAGCGCGAGAGTTACATGGTCACGGTGGCAGGATGGCCGAGTGGTCTATGGCGGTAGACTTCTCGTCTGCTTCCCAGTATGGGATCGTGGGTTCGAATCCCACTCCTGACATTGTTTTTTATAAGCAGCATTTCCATGCGCGCCCAGGAGGCATGCTGCAACGCTCGTTAGAATTTTTTTGCGGTAAATCCTTCCCCCTTAGAGAGGCCTATGCAAAACCGTACTTTTTTTGTCGCTACTCCCTCATGGCGGTGAATAGCGCTTCCTTGAGGAAGTCAAGGTGAAAGCAAATCATTTCATCCTGTAGAGATGACAACAGACAACGGTCCCATACCTTTGAAAACAATGTTATCATGAGGTCTTCCCTTTCATCATCATTTTTAATTCTAGTGATGGATGAGGGTGTATGGAAGCCTTCCTCAGCAAATAGCATTTTGCATTTTTGTATGTATCTGTCGAAAGGCCGTTCAGCAAGGTTAGCAGCACAAGTTCTGCTAGCTAATGTGTAAATGAACAAACCCCTAGCTCTCTTAATCATTTTCCAAGTATGCAGTCCCAGAAAAATTGAGAAGGGTGACTGACTGCGATGCACCGACACATTTGCCCCCATGGCAGTTGGTCTTACTGTCAGAGTAATCCCGCCGACAATGACCGGGGGTATAGCCGTTTTGGA